ACTACTTGCCACGCGACTTACATTTCGTTTTGTTTAAGTTTGAGCAAGAGGACAAGAAACATGACTTAACATCGCTTGACTGTATATAACTGTATTATTCACAAAATACAGTAATCAAAATATTTTTTTATGGTAAGACCTATTCTTTTATGCGAAGGGTTTTTTAGACAAGGAAGTGGTATGAACACGACCGATCCCAATTTGAGTTTCTAACACGTGATGAGTGAAGAACCAAAACATTGAGACGACTTGATGCGGACGAAAGATGAAAAAAAAACCTTACCCTATAATTTTCTTAATTGCTCATTCATAAAGGGAAGTGTGGTTATCAAGCTCGATCATTCTTTATTATTTCTTTACCTCCATGAGGAACGAACCAAATTTTCCATTTCTGAAAGGATTTAATCATAGCCTCTCACTGTAAGCTAAACTTTGAGGAGTCTTCGAATTAAGTCTAACCATTTATATCTAAAAGAAAAGAAATTTTCCATATGGTAAATGAGGCATTCCGTTAGCCTTTAGCAAAAAAATTTCGAAGTAAGTTTTGTGAAGAAGAAATCTCACGGAAAAATCAAGAGTTTAAATTAATTCTAAACATTTATTTCAAAAGAAAAGAAATTTTCTATATGGTAAATGAGGCATTCCGTTAGCTTTTAGCAAAAACATTTCGAAGTAAGTTTTGTGAAGAAGAAATCTCACGTAAAAATCGGGAGTTTACATTAATTCTAAACATTCATTTCAAAAGAAAAGAAATTTTCTATATGGTAAATGAGGCATTCCGTTAGCTTTTAGCATAAACATTTCGAAGTAGGTCTTGTGAAGAAGAAATCTCACGTAAAAATCAAGAGTTTAAATTAATTCTAAACATTCATTTCAAAAGAAAAGAAATTTTCTATATGGTAAATGAAGCATTCCGTTAGCTTTTAGCAAAAACATTTCGAAGTAGGTTTTGTGAAGAAGAAATCTCACGTAAAAATCAAGAGTTTAAATTAATTTTAAACATTCATTTCAAAAGAAAAGAAATTTACTACATGGTAAATGAGGCATTCCGTTAGCTATTAGCAAAAACATTTCGAAGCAAGTTTTGTGATTTAAGAAGTAATCCCTCCTAAAACCTCCAAGAGGGTCGCACTGGGGTTAAGCGTCAAATTGCCAAAATGTTAACCGATAACCGTCAAAAACGCATAATTTTTACTGCTAACCGTCAAATAAGCGAGCCAATGTTAGCCGTCAAATGTCTCATATATCCTTAGCTAAAAACTTGCCTTAATTGGTGTAAGGTTCTGTTCTTTAGGAATAAAAGTTTTGATATATGACAAAAATACATTAATGAAGGTACTTTCACTTCTAGTTGCGAGTAAAACTGGTTAGCGACAGAACTGACTTCCGGTGTGGAAACACTTCCGATGTCGTAAAACGTTAGTCATCTATTAATAAAAGGTTTTATTGATTAACAGTTCTTTACAAACGCGTCATTAAATAAACTTACAGCCAAATTCTTAGATTTAGTTCCTTTTATAAACGACATTCCAAAAAATTAATCGTCAACCGTCGAAAGGGTTTATTTTTAACCGTCAACAGTAAACGTGACCCCATCTCCCCACCCCCCATTGAGACCCCCATCTAACCCAAAAAAAAAAAACAATTTTGTTTTTGAATATCATATTTGAATATAAATGTTGATACATGGGCTTTCCTAAAGTTTATGATTTAGGGATCCTGCCCGAAACAACAATTAAACAGTCGGTCATCAGAGCAAAGAAAATTAAAACTTTGAGGAAGTTTGATGACCAGAATGGTGACCGTAACATACTGTACAGGAACTATGTTTTTTTCTCTC